TTCGCCACATTAATCGCTAGAACTGCTAAAGACATCGATGTCCTCATCGACTCACTTCCCAATGAAGAATCGACGCCTGAATTGCAGGTATTTTCCAATTGTTCTTCTATTTGATCCCAAATGGATGTCAGAATATATATACGATTAACAATGTATTGAATTGTTTGGTTTGTGGCCATAGAGTGCGGCTCTTCGACGTCTGGAACAGGAGAACAGCGATTCGGCTCAACGTTTGACAGAGACTGTGAAACGGGGCGAAGAGTTGTTGGAACAGATCCAGAATGCGCTCCAAGACATCGCTCAGTCGCAGCTGAAGATGCAGTGCTTGCACTCGTCCACCGATGACACCAACAGCGCATCCAATTCTCTCAATAATAATTCTAATAATTAATTTATTTCAATGTTTTATAACTTGTATTCATTTGTTTGGTTTTAATTTAATTGTGAATAAAGCTATCATTTGATTGATTTATACACTAATTGTAACACTAATTGAAATTCATATTAATTAATGTGAAATAATTAACTAAAATGTTTTCTTAACTGCAAAACTGTCATAAGTTTTCTTATTACATGTAATCAACAAGAATTGTATATAAGTTGTTATAAAACAACTCATTTCTAACTGTAAAGCAAATACAGTATTCATAGAGTATTAGACAAACTGTTGATAATTAACATCCCTATCCTTTAGCAGTGTTTGAGCCGTCGATTCAGACAATTATTAATAAATTTTGATTATTTTTGGCACCAATTGATTGATTAAATCAAAGCTGAAGTGATGTGCGAATTGGATCAACTCGAGAGACTGGAAGCGGACGTCCAATCATTGAAGAATTCATTTGACATGCTGTGTCTCATACGTCTGAGCCTCACTGTCCTCCTCATTGTAATGGTGTTGGGCTTGAGTGTGAGGAAGTGGTACTTCATACGGCAGTTGTATACCAGAATCTCTGAGATATCCCAACGATTGGCGGATATTGAAGCCAATCCTTTCATTAATATTGTTAACGAAGAATAGTCTGACAAATAAGGAATCATTGAAAATAACAACCGATTCAATGAGATGTCAATTATAATAGCGTTGAACTGATTTTTGCACTAAAGCGACGATTAAGTGAATAATAATAATAATAAGTTATATTAATGTATATTATA